AAAGGAGATTAAACAAGTGTGAGATAAACTTCAATAAGGATGTGTTGCCCCACAGAAGACTGTCCTTTTAAAATAAGTCGAATTATAATGGCCCATAAATCAACAAGTTTATACCTGCTCATATATGAGAAGATTAATTATAACTATAAAAGGATGAGTAGTGATTATATTACGACAGTTGCTTTTCTACCTATTGTTTTCTCTTAATTTACTAATTAATATAACTTCCACGAAATGTGCTGAGAATTTATTGATTTGTAAACAAAACAATTCATTTAAACAGTACTATAAAATGAACAATTTTCTAAGTACAAAATAGTCACGACTTAGACAGTTTCCTTACTGCCTTTAGATTGATTTTTTGTTTGTCATACATCCCTTTGTTATGTATTATTTCTAGGCAATGTTCATGTGGTAACACTAAATTCTCATATCCATCTTTAAGATGAATTTCTATATTATCATCAGAGTTAAGAAATAATTTACATTATTTACATCTATCTATTGCATTTTAATTAATTATAATGGCAGAATTTTTATTCCTGGCATCTTTTTTATCCAATATTTCAAATGTAATTGTATAATGAATTAGTTTCTTTGTGTATTTAATTTTATGTACAGAATTAAGTATTACAAACTTATTATCATTTATCATAATTATTAATGTTATATATTTTCAAAATAATTTTGATACTTTTTTGGTCTTTTAATTTAAGTGTATTATTATTTAATTTACTTATTTTATTTACATTAAAAATCTTAAAATTCTATATAATAAAAAATAATGAAACACACTTTATAAATAAAATAAAATATAATAACAATCGTTGATGTAAATATAGATAATTTTTGTGATCAAGTTATTTTAAATTTAGAAATTAATTCAGAATTATCTAATAAAAGAATAAAAGGAAATTTATATTTAACATCTTGCTACTTAAATAGCATATGTAAAACATAAACAATCAGCATAAATATTGATCTTTGCACATCCATCATTAACTTATAAGCCTTAGGATCAGTTTCAGTTTAAGTAAAACTGATAGCATTTTACAGTTGTGGTTTTTTAAGATGGTAAACATAAATACAATAAGATCTTTGTAAATTGCAAAAAGCCCTTTTATTGTATGTTCAACAGTTTACTTTTGCAATATAAGCAATCTCAAGCTTGGGTTATCATACCATTTGAAATATCAGAGTAGACCTTAATTATATAATTTCCTATAGCATCTGAATCTGTAAGAGCATTTCTATTCTGTAAAGAAAGGTTTGTAGATTATAGATCTTTACATTATTTGGCAGTAACATTCCAAATTGAGACATCTATTGATATTATACATATTGCAATTTTGATTGCTGAGTTGTATTCATCATAATTAATTAGTAAGCATCAGAACAAAATGTAAACTTCTTATAAATTTTGCTCTGTATTTTGGCTGAATTTTCAGATATATTCTACACATATATACATGGGCTTAGGTTGGACAATTAAATGAGGATGCAATTAGGAATCAATTGTTTAATAGAATTGGAATTGATTTACTTTAGGAAAAATTTTTTAATATTAGATCGCTATACAGAAATATCAATCACTCAAAAGTTAACTTCTTTATTCTTGCTTACTTAATAAAAGAGTGAAAATACATAATCATCATGACCTCCCAATTTATTTAATTCATGAATTTTGAGGATGGCTTGCAAATTCATAAACATAAAACCAGAAAATTTACTTAATATTTGATATAAATCACCTTCAATAATGATTCTACAATTACAACAGCGATTTAAAAATCATATATTTAATTCTATTTCTACAAAAAGGAAAATTTTTTAAATATCACGAATTTCAAAAAGTCTACTTTTGAGGTTGAATTTCAGAAAATTCATGTTTAAAATTTAACATGATTTAGGTTCCTGTTGCAAATTATTATTGAATAAGAATGAGAACATTCTATTTATAAGCTATTTTAATAAAATTGCATTTTTGAAAAATAAATAATTGAATGGAAATGTATTGATACACAAAAGCCAAATAGATACGAATAATTATGTTTAAGTCTTGAGAAGGATTATTTAGTAATTCATACAAGTAATAGTTATGATGAATCACCTGTTTATAGAAAACAATCAATAGATAAATAAATTTAATGGGTTTTGAAATAAAGAATAACCTAAGAGAATGGAGAGCTTTTGGGATTTATTAACAATTTTTAATTTCTATTTTTGGATTTTGCTAGTTTTCCAATTTATACTTTAAATCAAGGGAATTTAAAATCAAATTTCCATAAATTTCAAAACTCCTAACTTTTAATTTTTTATTTTTTTTTCATAAAACTTAGACTTTAATCATCTCATTACAACTTACGATAATATAAGTTTAATGTTATAAAAGAGATAGTAAAAGTTAAGAGAAAGATAATTGATCTAAATTGACTTATCAAAATTAATAAAAGCAAACGTTGCAACAAATTCATTCTGCTCTTTCTCACAAACGATGGAGAATATATATTATCTGGAATAGTAAGAAAACTAAAAGTATAAAAATATTAACTATTTGATGCAAGAAAATTCATATACACATATAATAAATTTAACTTTTTTTAAACTGCACATAGTCAATAATCTAATGATCACTCTTTTAAGAAACCATCTATTTATCCAATGAATACTTAATACTTAATATTATAGATAAAAATAAAATAATATCTCCTCATTTTTTATAAATTTTAAAGCAAGCTAATTCATTTAAATAACATCTTCATTATGAAAAATAATCCATCAATTTAGTTTCTTTGATATCATAGCTGAAATCAATAAAAAATTCCATTAATAAGCAACATCTAGAACATGATTCTAATGAGTATTTATAATCTAGGTATCAATTGTTGCTCAAGTAACTTAACCTAACAATCCTTAATCTTTTAAAGCCATTTAAAGATTTGTCATCATTGAGGATTGATAATGGAGGATGAAAAAACAAAACCTTTCAGAATGTAGAAAACCTAAAATAAAGCTATTAGAACGCTCCTATTAGAAATTATTAGATAAAAGATATAGCTCACTAATTAAAAATATAAGGAAATATTCAATAAATTCATAAAGAAAAGCTAAATTACAACAATTTATTTGATGAATTAAAATAAAAACTCATCAATTTAAATAACAATTTAACAACTATTATAAATTCTTAATGCCCTTAAAATGCTGTAATCATATTTCGAATATTTATGGAATATAGTTGATATAAAATTTATAACCAGGAATTTTGATAATGGATTTGATATAATTTATTAATTTATACTTTTTTTAATTATAATAGCAAGTAATTAATTATATTACTTATTAGTGATTATAAATTTATAAATAAGATCACAAAGATCATAATTCAATCGCAAACTTGAAAATTTCTTATTAAAAAGATTTTAATTGATCGATAATCAAAATTTATGAAATTGATTTTGGATTACAAATGCAAATTCATTTGATGTATCAAGTTTCAGATGTTTTATAACTCTTTACTGGGCAATAGTATTTATCTATAAATTAAAATGATTGGAAGACTATATATAATAGAAAAAGAAATCAAAATCTTATGATGAAACCTAAAATTAAATTATATAATTAAAGGAATTAAATATAATTTAATGAATAAATTGATAATCATCAAAATAGATTTTAAGATAAGCATCAACTCAAATAAATTTAGTTTGCCTAAAATTTAATTTTGAATTTAGAAACTAACATATTTAATATTTTATAATTTCAAAAATTTTTATGAGAATGAATAAAAGAAAGCTTGTTCAATTGTTTTGAATTGTCTCTGAATTCTAACTTTAATCCTTATTTACTATCACTGTATTTTTCAATATTTTAAACACTTCTGAGATAGGGAATTCAAATGTTGATTCATATTATTTGATTTTGATAATTTACTATATAGCATCCAAGTTTTTAATTTAATCTCTAAGTTTTGCCTAATTTTTAGATTTTATGAAACTTTCCTTTTCTAAAATTTGCATTGAAATCTACTTATAATCTTTTTGCAATTCTTCAATTCTCTTGTTATGGAAATTATGAAATATAATATTTTCGTATATCTATAATAAATTTTAAGCTTATTCCTTCTTCTCAATATCTTCTTCCATCTTTTAATTTATTTTTTATTTATAGAAAGTAATACCATTACTTTCCATTAAATTCTTCTTTTATTTATTTTCTTTAACTCTTTCATAATATAATGTTAAATGACACAATTTTAAATAATTAATTAAACTGTATAACTTTTCAAAAGATTCTAAATTAATTTTATATACACTATTGAAATATTCAAATTATTTGTTTTAAGGTATTTTTAAAATTAATTCATTTATTTTTTTAATCAAATTTTGCATTTTTTCTTTTAGATCATTATAATGTAATGGATTTAATTGTTAGATTTAGGCTACCTGTCTTATTAAGTTTATTTCTTAAGATACGAGTTATTCTTCTTATTATAAGTGATACTAAGTATCAATAAGTGTATTATCTAAAGGCTAAAATCCTAGTCCAATTTATAAAGAATCAACAGTATATATTACGTTATTAGACAAATGAAAATGTACTTCATTTATTTTTTTCATTTTTTCTTTATCATATTCTGATAACTTATTAAGCAATTATAAAATTTGTTCATGGGTTTCTCTTTTTGAAGTTTCTTAGAAAATTTTTTTTTCTTATTCTAAAAATAATTTCTAATTCTATTGGTTAATATTATAGTAATTATTAATTCTCTCTTTTTCTTATTCTAATTCTTTTCTCAATGCTTCTCCTTTCTCATTCATTAATTATATTTAATCAATTTTATCTTAATCAATTTTGACTGATGATAACGTTCTTGAAAATTGAAAGTATAATTATTATAACTCTAAATATAATTGAAAATATTCTTTTTCTTATTCACTTTTATTATTATTCGCTATTTTTTATAATACTAAATCTAATAATTAAACTTTATCTTATTCATCTAGTAATAATTATTTTAATTTTTCTTAAAATTATTCCAATTAAACTATTTGAAGATTCATAGTTTCGAAGCAGGTTGATATCTGAAAATTTGAGAATTTTTCATATTATTATTAAATAGATTAGATATTTTAATCGATTTTTTGTTATTTATCCATTATCAAATTCTTAGATAATTCCCCATCACAATATTGATCCTTACTAAAATGACTAACTTAAATTTTTAATTAATTCATTTTATCTACAAATTCAATTAATTAGCCTTCCACAATTTTTAATTTTTTTAATCTCTCATCATTTCTTTATTTAATTTGTTAATCATTATGTATTTATTCAAGTAATAAATAGTACTATTATTTAAATTCTTATAAATTTTAATTTATGCATTGATACTTTTCTTGGAACTATTAATAATTTAAAAATATTCCTTTTTATTCTAATGATAAATTTAAATCATTTAATAAATCAAAGCAACCTTCTATCTTAAAATTTATTTAGGTTATTTTATCGACATATTATTCGTTTTAAGATAATAATTTAAATTAATCCTTAAAATAATTTAAATTCTGGGCAATAAAAGATATTTACCTTTTATTTTCTTCAACAAATTTACTATCAATTTATTCTAAAGAGTTACTTGTTTCTTCAATTAAATTTTTTTGTATATTTTAAGATTATAAAAGTTATTCGAGTTTTTTATTGAAATCTTAATAATTAATGAGTTATTTTGATTTCTCAATTTAAATTATAGTTTTCTCATATTATTCTAAGACTTATAAATCTTAAATCATTCTTTACTATTTTTCCACAATTTCATAAAGTTTTTCTTCTTAATAAATTTAATATTAAATTCTTTCATAAAATTTCATTCTTTCCTAAAATATCTTTATATCTCTTAAATACTAATGAGATTATTATTTTAATTTTTAAAATTTATTTTTAATGTCTTATTTTTCCTTATCTATTTGTTCTTCTTGTTCTTCTTGTTCTTATTGTTATTACTTAAGCTATTATTTATAGTCTATTTAATTTTAGATAAATATTTATTATTCTGATACATATAAAATAAAATTATTTTACTCCTCTATATTTTACTGAATCTATAAAGCTAATTGATTATCCAATCCTTTAAGCTACTCTATTTAAGAAACTAATTATAATTATTTCTGTTCATTTATTTAAATTTTTTCATTGTTTTTTTAGATTTGACTCTATATCAATTGTACCAACTTCTCTTTATCAGGATCCAAAGAATCAATATTTTTGATTATTTGCAATTTTTAGTCTAAATTTTTTGTAAATAATTGAATACTATTTTACAGAAATTAGAAAAGGGATTATATTTTGTCTTGTATATATAATTATTTTTCTTATTCCTATGTTTTTTCCAATTAAGTTACTTTGATTGAGTAATCCTGCATGTATTTTTTCGAAATTTCTATCTCTAACTCTTACTTCATTTACATTTTCTATTCTTCAACTTTTTATTTGATTTCTTCCTATTATTCTCTGTATTAATTTTAAACCTATATAATTTTATCAGTGACTTCCTGCTCTTTTTACTTTTTGATTTCTCTTTTTGTTGATTAAATTTTTTCGTTATTCTCTATTTCTAAATCAAGCAATTTTTATTAGTATTCATCTCTTATTTTTTGCTCAGCCTCTACTTAAATCCTTTTAAATTCCTCAAATTTTTTATTCAAGTCCTCTATCTCTTTTTTTTATCTCTAATTCTCTTCAATGCATAATTGAGACTGTTAATTAAAAAATTATCTATTGATTTTATTTTTTTCTTGGCATTCCGTAAAAGTTATTTGATTAAATTGAGGTTATACTTAAGGCTATATTTAAGTGAATTAAGGCTATACTTAACTGAATTAATTTTATACTTAATTAAAATTCGATTTTACTAAATTGAATTAATTTTATACTTAATTGAATTAAGATTTTACTAAATTGAATTAGGGTTATATTTATTTAATTTATTATTAGTTTTAATTTTAGTACTATAACTTATTTTACATATTGAAATTTGGCTATTAATTATAAGTTTCAATTATTTCTCTCAATTACAGTCTTTAAATTGAAGACCTTCTTAACATTCTTTTAATAAAATTTTTTTCTTATTGTTATATTTTCTGGTTATATTGGATTTATTAATCTATTTCATTTTGTGTCTTATACATGATTTGATTAAATATGTCTTGCTATGATATACCTAGGTTATAAATTTAAATACCATTAAAGAATGTTTCTTCTGTTAATATTTCATACCAAATGGCTCCTAATGACCACACATCAACTGATTTATCATAATAAGTGCTTATATTTTAATTGCTCTATAACACATCTGGAGCTATGTAAAATGGGGTTCCAACACAACTAGTCTTTGCCATTTAATTTGAAGTTTCTTTCACTAAACCAAAGTCAATCAATTTAATGATTTTTTATTGGTTTGGTTAATTGATATATACAAAGTTTTCTGGTTTCAAATCTCTGTGAAATAATCCCATTTCATGAAGTTAGTTAACTCCTTATACCATCTCATAATAATACTAATATTTACTTAAACAAAATAGTTATTTTTTTGTTGATAATCCAATTTTTAGTAATCTAAAGTTTTCATAAATTTGTAAAATTCACCATGAGCAAATTCCATAACTATTATTAGACATTATTATTAATTATGTTATATTCCTTTTATTCCAATTATATGGCTGCAATTGTTTTGCAGAATTGCTTAAATTGCTTTTTCTTCATTTGTATAGATTTTTTTGTATTCTTTTATAGCCACAATTTCTTTTGTTTAAATATTTTCTCCCTTATAAATAATACCTTCTGATCCTTAACCAATTTCTTATAATTTTAAGTAGGCTACACCATCAATCATAATTTTTGTATTTTGCATTCCAAAGGTCTAAATATTGTCCATATTTTCTTCTTTAATATTCAAAATCAAGAATTTAATTAATACTTTCTTATAAATAATATCTGAAGATTTGTAAAATAAATAATTGAATTCTATTAAATCAATATTAATTTGTAAAAAATATAAAATGCAAGCTTGTATATAATACATCATCTAAAATAACATACATTTTCATCATACTTCCCATAATTCATATCATTGCTTGATTAATTAATCTAAGTTCTCTCAAAATTTTATACTTATTATTTATGAATAGAAGAATTTTCATATTTTTATTTATAATATATTTACATAATTTTCATCTTGCAACTTTGATAGATTTAGTTCTAGTTTTATTCTATTTCATAACTATCTCAACATTATTTAAATTGTAGTTGAATTTCTTTTTTTATTATATTACAATTCACAAAAGATTTAAATTCAATGATACCATAAAAATACTCTCTTTTCATTATAACTTTGTATTAAATATTGTATTGTTCTTTCTTTAATTAAAGTATATGGATATTAATGGAATAGATTTTATCATATTTTACATTTTTTTCATCTATATACATTCTAAAATTTTCTATTAATTCAATCTATTATCCATTTTTAATTAAGTTCAAGCCTCATTAGAATATTCATACTTTCTACTTTGTTTCCATCTAAATAATCTACAACCAAAGTCAATTATGATGAACTAAGAGTTACATAATCGAATGCTATTAAAAGTTCTTTAATAGACTTAAAATATTCCAATAGATTAATAAATTTTATATTTGATTTTATAATTTATACTTTGAAGCATAATTATAAGATTTTAGGAGGACATTATTACGTAATTTAATTAAAATTTAAATAAACTTTATAGATTATTTTTAGGTTAGATTAATTAATCTATAAAGAAAATTACATTTCTTATCATGTATTATTTAATATTATTTTTTTATTTTTAAGAAATGAATTATAATAGAATGGCTACCAGTATGAATGATTTAAATGAAAAAAGTGCTTAAAGTTGATTTATTTCTTTTGATACAAGTTAAAGGTATGTTCTTTAAGTTAACTTTGCTTTATATCATACTGATTTAAAACATTTCTAAGTTCAATATCGAAAAAATTGTAAATAATTATTGTTCCTATTTAATCAAAAATAAAATAATAATCAAAGTTGATTATTTAGCTACAAAATCGTGGATTAATTTTTTTGTATTTATAT